AGGGGGGCGTGGCAAAAGAAATAAAAACAATTACACATTAGGGATGTAACAAAAACTGAAATATCATTATATTGTGGACCATCACAATATATCGAATTACAAGACTCTTTCCTTAAATTAATACTCATGGTGCAGCAACAGCTTAAAAAAAAAACAAAACAGAAGGAACTACATAGACCATGCTCCTTTGCTCCACTTCAGTGCAGACTACATGTAGAAATAACTGTTCTTAGCGCTTTTAAATCTTAGTTCTTTGGGTTAAATCTTGTCAAGGCATTTTAAGAAGAAAAAGTAGGGTATTCACAATTTTGTTAGCCTCTACAAAATATTGCACTAAATATCATACTGTGAGATGAGTATTTGTGAAAATTTATTACTAAGAGACTTATATATCATTACATCCCTATTATTCATATCTACAATCAGACTACTACTGCACTCACAAGACCCGCACGGGACTGGGAGTGTAAAGTATTTATACCGATAAAAGTATTGAGAAACAATGTATTTAAATAAAGACAGATTAAACTTGATGATTAAACGTGATTTTAATCTGCCTTTTTACATAAATACCAAACGTTCACATAACTTACTCACTGACTGACTTCTCCTTTTTGCTGCCGTCTCATATAAATATCCATAATCTAATAAAATGAGCAGTGCACTATGTAACTTTTTGTTTGGGGTTGCCTAAAATGTTCCACAGTATGACATTAAACACATCTACTTTACATTTATTCAATTCCAAGTAGTTTTATAGCTCAAAAACACCTAGAAAAACAAGCATTCTGACTGTGAGCAGGGTCACCTCTCCACAGGTCTGATCTGTAACCTGGTCTGGTTTGTTCTCCATGAAGATAGAAAGGTTTAACACCATACTGTGGAACATTCCAGACAAAGCAACAACATCTCCCTGAAGAAGCGTTTGACAGACCCTCCACCAGAAAAGTTACACAATGCACCTTTAACAACTAATGGACAGACTAGACTACTTATACTGTAAAATTGCATCTTGAATATGCAAAAAGCTACACAATATTAGTACACATATTTATACAACGAGCAAACGCACAATCAGCATGACAAAAAAACAAATGCGTTGCAATATATATATTTTTTTTATTTTGGTCCTCCATTTGACTAGCCTGATTCATCAGCCGGTTTCACTTTGTGGAAACCGTTTGACCTCACGGAGTTAGAATTCATTTGCTTGACGGAAGGCGGGCACTTTTTTAATTTAACCAATTGCTGCTATTTGGTCATGATGTATGTAATGCACCGCTAACAAGGCTAACTGATATATTAAGCTTTTCCCAAATCCCATAGGAACAAGGGCAATAACGTATTTCCCCTTGATAAAATTCACCAAACATTCTCTTTCGGGAATGGTTGCCAACACAGAATGTCTGGCTTCATTTACATCCATCTCGACCGCTTTGTTTACTGTTGTGCTGTATCTCAAAAGCGACCCAGACAGGTGCTTGAGTTTGACGTCATGGCTTCACAGCACTTCGCTGACTGGCCAGTGCGCGGTCTACAACTTCCAGAGTTTTTGTGAACCGTCTAGTGTATTCCAATTCCTGACCTAGTCGCTGGAGAGAAATGAAATTGAGTGGAGGCACTAAGTGGCGTCAGTCTGGCTACCATTTGACATCCAAGTCCAAATTTTCTTAGTTCAAGATTAAGCCTATAGTTGTCACTGGGTCTAAACACGATTTAGTCCCGCTTTGGTCCTGTTTTAGTCCATCTTTAGACCTGTTTTAGTCCCTCTTTGGTCCTGGTTTAGTCCATCTTTAGTCCTGTTTTAGTCCATCTTTAGTCCTGTTTTAGTCCATCTTTGGTCCTGGTTTAGTCCTTGTGTAGATGTATGGCTATTTTGGCTTACCCCAGTTTTCACCCTTTAGTAAAAAATAATACTGTATCACTTAGAATAAAATATTTTCCAATTTAACATCTTCTAAATTATTGTTAGATAATTGTGATTTGATTGTGAGTTCAACTTGCTTCAATTTATGTCATATTATCAGGAGTAGCAATAGATGTAGCAGTTGTAGTAGTATAGAAAAAGTTCCATCAGTAGTAGCCCAATATAACTTGTACTAGAAGTAACAGTAGTAATAATAGTAGCAACAGTAGTAGTAATTGTAGTAGAAGTAGTAGTATCATTAGCAACAGTAGCAGTAAAACTACCATTCCTCCAGGGGCCACAGTGTTCTTGTTACTGACACCAGCTGTAAGCGTGAGTATAAATGGAACGGATCAGAACAGACTGGCTCCACACGCACTGGATGCAGAAGACAGAGGAGGCAGATTTTGTGAACTGCATAACATAAAACCCCGTGATTGGTTCAATAAACGAGTTTAAAAGAAAATCAGAGGAGTTGTTAAAATGCACTGTGAGAAAATGTCATTTCCAGATACAAAAAACTGAAGAAGCGACTTGGATGAGCGGCAAAACATCTTCATTATAAATCCATTATAAGTCCAGTTAACAGAATTAAATTTTCTTTTGTTATAGATTCACTGTAACAAATAGCACTATAAAGAGCAACATAAATCAGTGTAGTGCTTTAAAATACCATAGCCTATTGAAATGTTTTGAATATATATCTAAAAACAACATATAACAAACATTTTATTTTTTCTTATTCGTGAATTTTTAGTGGCAAAGTGTTCAAACTCTGTTGCATTTTTTATTTTGTAAGTTATAGCAAGTGGCTGCACTAATACTGAGAACTTTTGAGGTGGTGTGGTGCCTTCATGGGCCTTTAGGTGGAAAATATTATATAACATTGACTTACTTATTTTATTTTATGTTTTTTTATGTAGTTAACGTAGTTTTTTACCTTGACTAGGACTGTTGCATCTATGAATTTTAACACATCACTATAACCTGCTCATTTAGTTACATTTAGAGTTTTATAATATGCAGTAAATTTGTTGAAATCACATTGTTCTGGGCTATAAAAAGCAAATAAAATATTTAGCCTTGAAAATGAGATGCAGCTGTCAAACTGGTGAAACTCTCTGTGGGGAAATGCCACTTACCGCTGCTGAAGGTCAGACGAACAGAGGAGCGAGGCAAGTTCACCAAAAGTGCGTGTCCACTGTGGTTTTGCGTCGCTCGTAAAAACTAAAACTTTACGACCGCTACCTTTCAGCCGCGTGTTCTGAAAACTCTTAAACCCCTTCTTTCCGGTAAACTGCGCGATTTAAATTCCTCCAGACCGCAAACACGTCGCAGCCAAATTTGTTTTCGTTTTGCTGCTCGTCGAGATGAGTGGAGTGTGGTGCGTCCCCGGTCACCTGCGCCACCGCCAATGGAGAAGCGGGAGAGGTGCATCACGGGTAATGTAGTCATGCGTTTGTAGGCTATTTCAGGGGCATGACGTGATGACTAAGTATGGAAAAGTTCTTTGAAATGCAAGAGTAACCGATGAGATTTTACTGGTGCTTTCTTGATCATTGTTACGGTCATTAAGTTATCATAACAGAGCTAAATCAGCAATATACGTAAATTACAATAAATGTTACTTTTTTAGCCGACCTCCAAATGGAAAATCAAATGAAGTGTTGGCTACTAAATAAATTGGTTTACTAATACGTCCGCCACCTACTTGTCTCCATGGAGATGCGTGCTATTGCTTTGCCTAATGTTCCACAGATGGCCTTAAACTTGGCTATAGAGACAAGCATATGGTGACAAAACAGCAAAGTTCAGGTTAGAGGTGTGGAAAGGCAACTCACTCACAGAAAGCGTGTTTTTCAAGGTACATGTGAGCAGTAAATGTAACTGAGCTACAAGAAAAAGAAAAAAAAGCCACAAAACATGCACAACAGGCAAATCTTTCAACCAATAACTTGTGATCATAAACCTAATTTGAAATTTGGAGATGCATGGGCCCAGGTGCTGCATCGCTGTCTCTAAATGCCCTGGCAGCATTCTGGATAATAATGCTTTTCTGGACACTCAAAGACACTTTACAGAGCATTATTCATTCACTCCACACTCGGTGGTGGTAAACTACTGTTGTAGCCATAGCTGACAGAAGCAAGCCTGCCAATCTGCATAGTCAGCCCCTCCGACCACCACACACACACACACCCACACCTTTCACACTAGGCAATGTGGGTGAAATGCCTTGCAACAGTTTTTGCAACTGGCAATAAAACACACTGTGGCACCTGGTACTCCCAGCGGTCTCCCATCCAAGTACTACCCAGGCCCAACCCTGCTTAGCTTCTGAGATCTGACAGGATCAGGCTTTGACAAACTTGTATGCCCACAGAATGGTTCAAATTCTCAAATGCAGGGGACAAATGATATAAAATGGTACAATAATAACAAAAAACCTGTGTCATGAAGACCAAAACTTATAAGCAAATCTAACAAGAAAGGAATAGCTCATCTATGAATAATATGAAAAAGAAAAAAAAAAAGCGACTTAATATTAAGATTGACTTCAGCATTATCACAATGCACATACTACTACTAGATACTTAATATTGAGTTGATATCACAACAAACTTTTTATACATACAAAACAATGTAGATTTCTTCAACTGAACAATAAAATATTTCAAACTGTTTTTGTATAGATCTTTTTTTTTGTATAGACCATTCTAAAACTATTCAGGACATGTCCCACTATCTTCTGGTATATTAAAATGTCATACAATTTTACAGATTTAGTCTGAATATTACGGAGAGAATCCAGCTCTCAACATAAACATCACAGGTTGAGCGGTCAAATCCACTGACCCACAGGTTGGCTGGTGTGATTCCAGCTCCCACAGATGAATGCTGTCGTTGTGTCCTTGGGCAAGACACTTAACCCACCTTGCCCACAGTGTCTGTGTACACTGGTGTGTGAATGGGTGAGTGGTTCCTTGTTGTAAAGCGCTTTGAGTGCCTTGAAGGTGGAAAAGCGCTATAGAAAAATGTGACCATTACCATTACCAATATAAAAATATAAATAAAATATAAATACACACTCCAGGAGATTTCTAAATGACTAGTTTGATTTTATTCAGTGTGTCTGTCAGTCCTAGTCTTGGCTAAAACAGAAACTAGACTGTCATTGATCTACTGCCATTCACAACATGACACATCTGCAGCAAGAAGTGCCCGAAATCACAACATCTTTAGAAATGATTCCACAACACGTTCAAATCAAGTTGGCTTAACAATTTCAACATAATAGACCAATTCTGCTCAAAATCAAAATAAACTCATCATTTACGCACTAACTGTAGTGAATTTACATATGGGCGGTTACATTCAATAGTCATGAAACACTTGTAGGCATTAAAGATTGACACAGGTGGCAGTGGAAGGCAGGCGAAACGAAATGCTGTGAATTTAAAGGAGGATTAAATATTAGTATTCTAAGACTATGATTAAATGGATTTGAGGTAATCGCCTCTTTGGCCCCTTCAGTGTTCATATTACACACTAAGGTTACAAAATATATTAAATACATCTATATGACAAAATAACAAACCAAAATTTAAATAGAAAATTGATCAGTGGCTCTCAAGTTGTGGTACAGTTAATGCAAATATTGTGCGTTTGACTCCTGTTGTTAGAAATGCATACTGTTGTGTCCTTTAGTCCTGGTTTGGTCCTAGTTCCATAGCACCAAAAAATGTGACTTACATCTTGAAGGCCCATGACAAACAATATGGTAACTAGAGATGTTGCTGCTTTGCCAGGAATGTTCCACAGTACGGTACTAGACGTATTTATAATCATGGATACAATCGGGCGAGTAGCAGATGGCAGACCCCTTACCAGAAAAGTTACATAAAGCACCTTTGATTTATTATAGGAACTGGTTTAAGGAGGTAGAGTTGCAGGATTTCTCTTAGAATTCACAAAAAATAAAATATCTTTAAATATGCAGCAACATAACACTTAATTTGGGGTTCCTGTCCATTAGTTGAGAACCACTGATCTATTTTTGATTGAATCTGAAGGCAGTACCAAGTTTAGGTTAGGATATGTGACGTGTAGATGACAATTCATGAGGATATGCGTGTCAATTAATAACATTATACAACTGATTTAAAACAAGATAAATAAAAATAAAATCTCTAAAGCTGAATCATGTTTCTCAAGTAGTTATCAGACCAGTTTAAGTTATTGAAGAGACAGCACCAGAACACAGAGAACTGAATTGTGTTGGACATATTATGAACTCAAAAAGACCCTGGCTACTATCACATTAATTACTAGTTAAATCAATTTTATGTCTGTTCTTATTTTGCAAAACATAAAAAGCATGATTCTTATGTTTCTATATTCAAAAACTATATCAAGTTATATGGTAATTGACAAAAATTTGGTTGCTATATTTGAGACTTCTGAGACCTTTAATTCTAGATCATTGACTTGGCTTGCTTCATGAAGTGTAATGCCTCAAAGTGTTTGCTGCCATCTTGTGCCAAAAGCGTAAATTTCACATATGAAAATTGTTCTGGTTCATGAAATAGTTCTAATATTTCTACCATGGAATATAGCTAGAAAGAAAACCAATGCATGTGTAGCCAGGGCCTTAATACATCTAAAGTGTCCTCCTATCAAGTACATGTGGTTTTAACATCTACAAGACATTAACAATGCACAAATGAATTCACTGAATTTATAGTTGCACCATTTTGTTTAACCAGGGCAATGCTGTGTCTCTATTTGAAAGCTCCCATATTATGCAAAATTAATTTCATAGCTTTTAACAGTGTTGATCCCCACTGTTACCAGTAGAGGCTGCCTGACAAGCCTCTAAATGTAGTGAAAAATATTGATTTTTTTTCCTTTTACATCAATAAATGTTTATATATCAGGGCTGAAAGGTTAATGAATACTGCAATTTTTATAGACCGCAATTACCAGATTAGAGCATTTGCCTGCATTGATATTTTTGATGAATAAAATGTATTAACTCTGTACTTCTGACCTTGACAAACATGTTCTGAAATGCATTTGATTTGATTCCTGCATTTAGCAGTTCATATTTCTGTCTTCTCAAATGCCACTGTTTTAGATATTTTTAAAATGCGCACTTTGAACCGAGTTTTCTTAAAAGCATTACAAACCTACCTACAACATTTGAGAGAAAAAAAAAAGCAATGCAATATTTCCCAACCATTCAGCCCTATAACATGTACAACACAACTAACAAGACGTGAAATGCTAAGGAAATGTAGCTAATGTCCAAAATGATAACTAAAACCTGATAAAAGCATACATGTGCAATATGGGAGCCTTGTGGTTTTTGTTTTATTCATGTGAGGAGAAGGGGTACTGCGGGTGCCACCAGTCCATGAGGCGCACACTGTGAACAGGGTCCAGTACAACCTGAGTGCCGCCCTGCTCTGCCCTCTTCTTGCCCCGGGGCAGAGGAGAGTCCTGGAACACCAAACGCACCCTATGATGGCGCATGTCTGTACTGACGTTGAGTGTGAACTAAAGAGGGAGAACAAATAAGAATTACATGAGTACAGTTAAATTTGGTTAGTCAAGATCATTTGAAAAGCTAAAAGGTTTTCAGGTTAAAGGTGCACTGTGTAATTTTTCTGGTGGAGGGTCACCGTCTGCTTGTCCCCCTGAAGATATCACTGTATCTCTGAGCTATAAAACACCTGCAGCTGAATAAATACAAGGTGGATATGTTTAATGCCCTCCTGTGCAACATTCCAGGCAAAGAATAAACATCTCCATGGACACAAGCAAGTAGCGGATCCTCCACCTTTGAAGTTACACAGTGGAACTTTAAGGCATATAGGTCCCAGTTTGAAATACAATTAATTTAATAAAGTCATTAGATATCATAAGATTGTCCTTCACAGTGAGGAGTAATTAAATCCCTAATAATTTAGTATGAATTGCTTATCTTAAAAGCAAAATTCCTTAAAGCTTGTACTAAAAGATCTAAATATTCTCTGTCATTTGGAGTGATAATTGTGAGACTGACCAGAGTGAGGGTCATCCCCATGACGACAGGGGTGAAGATGAAGTTGAGAGTTGTGACTTGGAGCATGTAACAGTCGGAGTCTGGGTTCCTGTGCACGTCTTCGTATTGTTGGGGCAAACACAGGACTTTGGCACGACCATTTTTATAATACCCCTGGTGGAAAGAAGAGGCACAGACATTGATTGTTTAATAAAAACCTACTGAAACTCAATTACTGTAATGGTAAAACAATAGTCATTGATCCTGGTAGTGATGTCAATAAAATACAAGCACAATACTGAGTTTTGGCATTTCTCTAGTAAATCTTCTCATAGAAATTACAATTAATAAAATTATTAAATGTATAATCAAATTAAAATAAATAAATAAATAATAATAATAATAATTTCCCATTATAGCATTTTACCTGCTTCACAAATTTGAAGTTGAATTCCCACAGTGGCTCAGGCCGAGTCCCTGTCAACTTTTGGACCCAGAATAGTAAACACTGCAAAGAAATACAAAATCAGTGTGCAGGCATTAGTATTTTATTAGAATTGTTGTCAGTGTTATCAAGAAACATACTGGCTTGCCTGGATGGCATTTTGAGAACTAGGACAATCAGAAGGTATTTGAAACCATTCATTTAAACACGCACTAAAACAGTTGTTCTGACTTGCCTTAGAGTTGAGCAGAGTTGAGGGCGTGGTCTCTGGGAGGGACGGGACTTGTGAAACCCGTAATATGAATGGTTCATACAAATGAAAGAGCGAGCGAATCACACGCGCTCGTAAACATCGCATCTTCTCCACAGAGTCGCGTTGAAGACGCAGCGGCAAATCTGCATCCATCCTGTAGTGCCTGCAACAGAGAGAACATACAGAGAGACAAGCAGGTCAGAAAAATTTACTCAAGTTATACCTACATATCCATGGGTCTCAGAATGATGAAAAACAGGCAAAGTGATTAACAATGTAAAACAAAATATTATGCATTATGAAGGGGAAGTTCTCAAAATGTTACAGGTAACAGAAAAATGAAACCCATGAATTAAGTTAGTCCATAAGAAGAAAGTGAAATACGTGACTGTATCTTTTAAGTAAAGGAACATACTTTTTAACCCCCATTAAGAAATCTCAGTTATACTTTAAACAGGCAGTCTGTGATGGTTTGAAAATGGAATTAGATCATAAACATTAAAAAAGGTGGTTGAACCTTTTGTAGAGTCTGCTCCAGAAGGCAGCAGTGCAGGTGACAATCCAGGCATTTCTACAGATCAGAGCGAATCTGCAAACATCTTCAGGACGAATGTAGGAGGACAGCACCAGCCAAATGTCCACCGGGTACTCCTGTCCATCACCGCTCTCGCTGTTCTCTGAAGAAAATGTGCATTGAAATATGTAAATGAAACATTCATATTTTAACCATATAGAATAATTTAAATGCAACATATATTTTGTAGTAAACAGTTTACAATATTTTGGGCACTCCAAGAGAGACAGCATGTATTTTTTTTTTTTTTTTAAATGGGCCAATCAGCTGACTTAAGAATACACATAAAAGCCTAATTTGAACAGTAGATAATACACAAAATGTGATTACGTTGCTCTCTTATTGAGTCTGTAGAAAAACGAGGTTGGGGTTGAGTTTGTAGTACGTTCAAATAACAGAATTTTCTGAAATTCCAATAGGCCCTACAAATCAGCCCAAAAACATTGGCTAATCTTACTAATTTCTCTTGACTCTAAACAATTGGCATCACCTGTGAAAAAACATATATTGGTTGCACTGTAATAGAGAGGATACTGAAAGTGAAAATAAGTCTAACACCTTTCCTCCTCTTGTTTTTCTTCTTGTGGGCTGCTTTAGACTGATTCTCATCTGGGTCTAGCTCCTCGCCGCTTTCCAGAGCGTCTCCATTCACACAGACAGCAGACGTGAGCACCTCATCCACTGTGCCCTGAGAAGCCTCCAGACCGCACAGTAATTTCACTGAGAAAACAAATCAATAATTACTCATCTGTTCAAATCATATGAGTAGTTGTAACAAAATACTTTTTCAAATACAAAATCCTTTTTTTTTTTTTTTAAAATAACAATAACAGCAATGTTTTTTAATTATTAGTTAGCCATTATTAGTAACTACAGGTCGGTCATTGTTAATTTATTGAAATAATAAAAAACAAAGTTTTTCCAAGCTCTGCTATTGAATAATAATCTTTTTTATTTTTTATTGAAAGATGTAATGTTCAGTCAGCCTTCAGTAAAATGACAATTAATTTGTAATAGCATATGACAATGCCATTTTTAATAGCAAACAACACTGTTTCATGTTATGATTGATGTGTGAGTGTACTCATAGTTTATACTGCCTCTTGGCCAGGTCATCATTGCAAATGAGGTGTTCTCAATTGGCTTATATTGAATAAATAAATAAACAAATAAGTAAACCTGTAAGCTAAACTGAAATAAATATGTATGTAAGGTTGGTAACAAAACTGAATGCTTGTATGCTATTTAATAGCATATTTTAATATCATTTCTATATTAGAGACTTGCCTTCTTTTTCCACAGCATTGACAACAGCCTTCTTCACTCTTCCAGACTTGACTACGGCTGGATCGGCATCGGCGTAATCAGCAACTGAGACTACAACAAAAACAGCCTTAAATATAAAATAATTACATACATTTACCTGCATTTTATCATATCATCTCTAATTTACTGCAGGTCGTCTTAATTGCATTGTATAAATACATATAATTGTGTAAATAATAAACAGGAAAAGACTTCTGCATGAGTTTAATTATTATCTGACCATGATCTAAACATAGGTAAAGCTAAATTTATTCCTGGCATATTACTAGACACAATCGGGTTTCAAATAATGCATATTTCATCACATACAATGTTATACGTAAGCAAAGTCAAGAAGAGAACAATATAAAACCTTAAAACCAATCTTTCATTGACAGTCTTCTTAAATTTGCATGATCTTGAAGTTTATGCACCGGTCGGTTAGCATGTTAGCTCTCTAACGCTAATGTGAAGTCTCATACCTGATTCGGAACACACGTCCCCCGCCCTAAATTTCAGCCGTTTTCTGTTTCCTTTCTTGGGCATGTCGATAAGGGGATTACTCTGCGAATACTTAGCGGGGCTGTGGGTCCTGCCATGTCTGTATGGCAAGCAGGAGAAGAGAGAAAGAAAGAAAAATGATAGAGAATTTAAAAAGTGTACCGCCAGGATCTTCAGCCATCATGGACTGACGGGACGTCGGAAGTATCGCGAGAGTTGTAGTTTCACACTTTTGTTGCCCTCTGTTGGCAAAATCAACCTGATTATCTTAATTTTTTTAATACTGATAATATTTTGGAAAAATAATACTGGATTCCGAAGCACACAACTAAGAATAACAATGATTCACTTTGCAATGACACGAAATGGACCAAGGTAGCCAATTTTCACTTGCTAGTTGCACTAAACTCAATTTGTACAGCTAGTTTTTCTTTAAATACTTAATTTGATTGTTAAAATAATTTGTGAATGTTGGGATAATGATTCGATCACTTAATTCTGTACTTTTCAACCTGTATAATGTTCGCTTTCTGTTTTCATTGCCCGCCAATTTGTGATTTGATAGTCACCTCGTCACTTGGCTTCTTTCCGTAATCTGCACTCTGGTTATCTGTTATCTGTGGCAAAGTTAGTGATCTATAATAGACTACATTTGATCAATTTCATGGAATCCAGTCAGGGGTAGGTCAGACAGTAGTGCAATGAATATTATTTTCTAATTAAAACAATCCACGTGTAATTTGTGTTTTGTCCGCCAGATGACGACAAACTACTACCCAAATTTTACGCACCACGTTATAAACCTGATAGGCCTAATAAAGTTCGGCTACTACTACTACTACTACTACTACTACTACTACTACTACACACGTGCATGCCACGAGGTAGCTTGAGAAGACAGTCAAACATTTTTTCCTCATCATTATAGTTTATAGCATCTAATGTTTATCCTGCACGCGTATTATTATTGTTCATTATGCTGTGTGATAGAGCTTTTGGCAATGACATGAATTCTACTCTATATGAAACTCATTAGCCTTATAAATGCCACTATATCAAGCGAATGTTGTGTTTTATTTTCTTGTTTCGACCTGTAGCCATTGATTGCGCAATAATCAGCATGCATTTAATAGCATGGGTATAGACTTTTAGAAAATTAAGAAATACATTGTAAGTCTTCGCTACTTCATCCTTTAAAATGGTGACTACGCCCCTTAACGTGTCTCTGAAGTTGACACCTCTGCAAGCTCCACTCTGGTGCTGATGCAAGACATTATATGGATGCATTCTGTATTATAACTGCTTTCACAATAATAGTTGGGTCTGTTTTTGCTTGTCGATATATAGGATGGGAATCTAAATGTCCTTTGGTTTGGTTTCCCCGTTTCTGCTCTGGTTCGCAGGCGCATATGCTGCAAGCGCTAATAGGCGGGAGGAGTGTCTGCCTCGCTGCCACACAGAGCGCACAGTGTCACCAAGCGAGAGAGAGGAAGAGGAGGAGGAGAGGAAAGGAGTCGGTGTGCGAAGATGGAGATGTAAAGACGGATGCGGATCAGACGCGCGAGCCCGTTCACTCCCCCTACTCGTCTCCACTTGGATGTATCGTGCGTTGGGTAATTTTTCTACCTCCAAATGTGCTTCTACTGTCGCGTTTACGGCCACCACCCCTTTGATCCTATATCCTCCATCCTCGAGTGAGCTGTCAATCAACTCGCACCGGGGTTGGTACATGTGGTAGTCCATGGCGCGCCGGGTTGGGCCGACAATTTGCACAAGGGCTGAGCCGATGCCGGATAATATGGATGGAAGGTCAAACCCCGTTTCGCCATTCGCATCACTTTGATAAGGTAAGGCCGTGTAAAGCTGTACGCGTGCATGTAGCTACAGTCTGTGGGGTCTGCTGGGAATGAGCGCGCATATGCAGGGTTTTGGTTGCCACGCGGCGTTTATAGGCCTCCTTATAGCAGTTATTGCAAGTGTGTGATAGGCCTTTTCACATTCATTCACACATGGCATCTGTTTGACGTATCGTTTAAAATAAGGAAAATGTAAAGACTTGCTTTGGTTTTCTGGACTATTTGCTGTTAGACAATCTGCCTAGTACAACATGTGACCATAGAGGCTCAGATAAGTGAAATTACTATGCCACATTTTAGCTTCAAACGTCATGTATTCTTCGTGGTTTATGTCTGATCTTTATGTTTTATTAAAGGTATAGTGAAAAAGAGAATGAACAGTGCTTCTCATAAGGTGTTACTGGCATCTTTGGTGGTACGTAGGCTTCCATTAGGCTGGAGACTGTCAGGGTCCTCTGCAATTTTGGCTCATTTGGTGCAGTTTAGAGTCATATTCATTCATGTAGTCCTTCTGTGGTTCAATCCTGGCATAGACCCAGGTTATAGTCCTTAGACAAGTTTTTGCCTGGGTTTAATCCTGGTTTAGTTCTGGCCATGAAGTGAATATTTAGAGAACTAGTGATTCACTAGAATTGATTGAAAATAATTCAGGAGGGTGCCATAAACTATTTCAGCTCAGTTGGTAGTCTATTGCTCGCCCCCCTGATTGCTGATGGTTCTATCTCTGCTGCTGGTGTAAAATTTATGTTGTCTTCTTATGCCAAACACTTAACCCTACTTGCCTGTACATATATTAGTAATATTGTATATTTATATGAATTTATATGATTGATATTATATTCTGCCTGGTGCTGAATTACATATTTCTGTCAGTCAGCCCTTTGAGCAACTGATTCTGTACTGTGCTGTAGAAATCCATTATATTAGACATTACCAATTAGCAGCATTTATCTTTTGAATATGTTGATTAAACTGAGTAAACTTTACTTGAATGAAAGTTGATATTAAAGCTCCAATGGCTGTTGCAGGTATATGGAGTAAAGGGGTGGGTGATATGACAAAAAAAAAATCCTATTATGATTTACCGAGAAAATCACATGGCTTTATTTACTTGTCAAACTAGGTCAATATAAAACCTAAAGACAAAACCAAGACCAACCCAAGTCTACTTAATGTAAAATCATCAATAATATCTGCCTTTTTGTATATTGAAATTTGAAACTGTTAAACTGAGAAATTTTTGTTGTTGCGATAAATATATTTTGTGCAATATCGATTGTTACGTCAGCCAATATTGCAATATCAATGTTTTTGCGATATATTGTGCATCCCTACTACACTTCACATCTTGGACACTGATTCTTACCCGTGCTGTCATCTCCATAGTGACACTGGCCTTGTAGCGCAGCCGTAGAACCGTGGAAGAGGAGGGAAGATGATGTGCGAAGTGATGCCCACCATCAGTGAGGGGGACACGGGCGCCCCTCCGCGAGGCCCAGGGGGGGTCCAGAACGGCTCGGAGCAGGAGGCCAACTTTGAGCAGCTCATGGTGAATATGCTGGACGAACGTGACAAGCTGCTAGAATCCCTCCGAGAAACACAGGAAACGCTGATCCAGTCCCAGAGCAAACTGCAGGGGGCGCTACACGAGAGGGACATGTTACAGAGACAGATCAACGCCTCGCTGCCTCAGGTAAGAGCATGGAGTTACACAAGGGAAATTAAAAGCTACATGTTTGATTTTAACATTCATATATTTGCAGTAGTTGTAAGTTGTGCGGTTGTGAGTTGTACAGTTTTGAATTGTGCATTGAATTGTTTGCTTCTTATTCTATTCTACTGTATTGACTTTTAAAAGAACCCAAGAAATTAATATACAAAACAGGCGAAATGAATGATGAATAATGTTATTGTGCTGCCTGGTATGTTCCACAGTATGGCATAAACATATCAAACAAGCATTTATTTTTCAATCTCAGGTATTTGTATTAGGGCCCCTCGATATATCGGTTGGCTGATATTATCGGCTATCACCCTAAATCTTGCCGATATGGGCCAATATTTCAAGTGGGCATGTTATACCTTGTTATAAAGATTAGACTCTCTACATTATGTTCATGTAATTCAGTTTACAGACAGATAAATATAATTTATTATAATAAATAAAAATAAATAAATAATAATATTATAATATAATTATTTATATCTGTGGTGTAATTTATCTTTATTTAATATCTGTGGAGTAATTTATCTGTGTGTGTGGCTGTACTGTCCCTGAACACACCCCCAGAGTCACATCACTCACGTGCGCTTGTTTACACCTGCAGCCATAGATCCGTGTGCAACACTGAGCTTATATTCTATTTACAGACAATCGGTTTGAGTCTGGATTAAAAGGACTTTTATTAGAGCAGGCGTGTGATCTGAGAGGAGCCTGTGTGTTGGAAATGTGTCTGTTTTGAAGCTAGTTTTGGTTATTTCTCATTGGTTAGCGATTAGCTGCTGTAGCTCCCGCACATAAACAGGCTGTTTTCTCTTCTATTGACCTACTGTAAAGTGATTACATTGGGTGTATATATGTTACTGGACCTGCGTTGATATGTAAATAAGATGTGAATAGAGTTGTGAATGACATTTACGTATATAATTTATTAGCACGGCGCACATGCATTTACAGCTAAAGGCTAATAGCGGTAATTTACTACTTTACTAGCTAGCTAGAAGGTCATGCAAAAATGCCATTAGGCTGACCTACTGTCTTTAAATATGACATAAAGAGGCAGAATAACAATAAATCTTGCCTAAATAAACCCATTTTAAAATCCACTAGAGCCAAACTTAAGTTTTTTAAACAGTTCAAGATTTACAGTGAATTTTTACATCACTAAATATATCTACAGTTATTTTGGCTATCGGCAGCTCCAACTCCCATTTTATCGGTATCATATCGGCCACAACAACAAAATCCATATCAGTCGGGCTCTAATTTGTGTTACTGAAAAATACCTTGAAAGACATGCATTCTTACTGTGAGCGAGGGCGCCTCTCCACAGGTCTGACCGGTAACTCGGCATAGTGGAACCAACTACTGGGCTTCGTAGATAAATTTTATGCCATACTGTGGAACATTCAAGGCAAAACAATAACATATGGACACAAGATAGTGACTCCCCCCACCAGAAATGTTACACAGCGCACTTTTAAGAGCCGTCTTTGAAGAGCTGGTACTGGCTTGTGTACAACAGTTTGAATTGGTTGTAAGTGTATTTTTTAAATTAGCTTATGGAAAAATGTTTCTTAAGCCTTGCAATATGACAGTAATCGCACTATAGGGTACACTTTGAGCCTTCTCACAATATTACTATACATATTGCGTGGTGTAATACCAACATAAAATCAGATTGTGAAAATAGGAGATAGTAAGATCCAGAGTTGAGTTATGTCAGGGGAAAAGTTGTGAACTATGTGTTTTTCTGATCGTTTAATCCATCTGTCAATCAAACCTATTAGAATTCATGGAGACAGGCACAAGTCCAGACTGTAATTCTTTGTAAATAGTAAAAGCGTGTTGTCTTGGCTGCACAGGCGATGTTTAGTGGTGCGTGAGTGAGTGATTGGTGATGGCTGGAGATGCCAATGGTGCAGAATGATAAACTAGCTTCAGTCAGTCTACCCCGGGGCAGCTGTGGCTTTAGATGTTGCTAACCACCGCTGCACTGAGTATGGAGTGAGTGTATCTTGACTTTTAAGCGTGAGACGAAACACAGTTTTCACGAGATTGGGTCCACAAGAACGAGACGATGAGATTTTGGCATAATTTGTAATAAAGAAGTAGTGCAATCCATTTCACAATTTTGGCCTCACAGTTTTTATTGATTTATACCTTAGTGATCATTATAGTACTGCTTTTTGGAACTACAACTTCTCAAATTTGATAACTTTCCAGCTCATGTGTGCATAATCGTGTAGCAATTTTGTCTCACGATATCTTGCAACACGAGATCATGTCCCATCTCTATTGACTATAACTCAGTCACAATTTGATCACCATTCAGTTACGATTAATTGCACATAGGCTTTTCACGTATTGTTTTGATTTATCATTCTATAAATGCTGCCGAACAATAATTTTTGGGAGTTAGTATTTATCACAGTTACTTTTTCCTTGTACTAGTGGGGAATGTTTTGTTATTTTTCAGTACTATAATTATGTTTGAGCTGAAAAAGGTTGAAAACTTCTATGAATCATTACGGTTACAAATTAACTACTCTAAGGTGTTTCATTCTGCTATTTTTTTATTTATTGCTGCTCAGTTTCTTTGGGCTAATCCTGCTTTAGGGTTATTGTGTCAGTGGGATAAATTAGGTTCAATATTACAATACAATGCAGTACAGTATACTTTATTGTCTCCTTGGGGAAATTTGTCTTGGACTCGTGCTGTGTGCCTTAAAGTTAAAGGTGCATTGTGTAACTTCTGTCAAATGCTTTTCTCCATGGAGGTGTTATTGCTTTGTGTGGAATGTTTCACAGTATGGCATTAAACCTTCCTATCATAGTGGAGACCACACCAGATGGAAGTTTCAGGTCAGATCTGTGGAGAGGCGACCCCGCTCACAGTCAGAATGCGTGTTTTTCTAGGTATTTTTCAGCAATAAAACCACCTGTAATGGAATAAATGAAAAGTAGGAGTGCTGTTTAATGTCATACTGTGGAACATTCCATGTAGAGCAATGATATATCCACAGAAACAAGCAGGTGACTGACCCCCAAACAAAAATTACATAGTGCACCTTCAAATAAAAAGATATTACTGTTTATCTTTTATATTTTTATCTATATCTTCAGCAATACAATAAACAATACACTTCAAAATGTATTAAAGCAGACCTATTAACCATATTATAGTTGTTTACACTCACCAGTGATTCACCTAAAGTTGTTTTTGGAGTGATTCGTGCATGTTTAATCACTTATTTTCAAGACGCCATTTTGCTGATCAATCCCTGTTTTTTCAGCCACCGGCATACGCCCACTGCTCTCTACTTACTTTTTTCTCCAATTTTATTTTCTTAATCATTGATGCACGTTGGATTCAGCAGCGTTGCGTAGTTATTTTGGTACAAATGATGAAAAATTTGCTTCTATTGTGATGTGCAGCTGTCCATCGGAGTTGCCGGCTTTTTGGTTTTTGTGACAACGTTTGCGGTGACGTCAGTTCCCTTAAGTCTTTTTAGATTAATACTAAGATTTAGATTAGATTTAAATGTGCACTATGTGAATTTTTTTGGGTAGGGGTCCATCATCTGCTTGTTTCTATAGATATGTCATTGCTCTGCCTGGAATGTTCCACAGTATGACATTAAAACAGCAGCTCTAGTTTACATTTATGCAATCACAGGTGGTTTTATAGCTCAAAAATACTGAGAAAAACTGGCATTCTGACTGTGAGCGGAGTCGCCTCTCCACAGATCTGACCTGTAACTTGGTCTGGTTTGACCTCCGTTAAGATAGAAAAGTTTATTATAACATACTGTGACACATTCCAGATAAAGCAATTACATCTCCATGGAGAAAAGCATTTGACAGAGCCTTCACCAGAAAAGTTACACAATGCATTTTTCAGATTATAACACAACAATCCACTGGTGTCACACATTATAACTATTAAGCAGACACAAGCGCAAGTGTTCTTTAATGTGACAGATCTAATTGCCCAGCCCTATCTGTGTCAAAACCAAAATGCCACTGGATACACAAGCCACCACACCAGCATGGACCAGTCTTAGTAGCATTACTGAAAGATGAATCGATGTGGCAGAGTAGAGAGGCACATCGGCTCTGTAGGTCTAGGCCACATAGTGAGATCTTTCCCTGGGCATTTTCTGGACTGAAGCTCCTCACCTCTGAAGCACTGACCCTCTGTTTCTCTGGGGAACTGAGTCAAATCACCTCATGATAAACTATATGTGTGTGCCCTATCTCACTGTGCTCACAGTTCACGTTACACAGAGAGACTACACATGGGGGCGAGTTAAAACAGCCCATATTGTTTTCCGATCTATGTTATAATGTTGTTTCCTTAAGAGAATGCAGGTAGTGAGCAGAGTTTTGTGAATGACTGGACAGTTGAATTTGGCTTGTCTGGTGTGGATGCAGTTTTCCTGTACCTTTCTGGATACACAGTAGTTTTTGCACAAGAATTGTGAAAAGGTTGTAAGGTTTATTTAGTCAATTAATTGAATGCATTAATTAATTGGGGACAAAGTCAACAAATAATTTCTTTAGTCAACTACAGCCATTACATTTTTTACCTGTCCCTGTGCATTTCTTTGGAAACTGTTTATAAAATGTGCTGTAGAGATAATTGGACTTGAGCGGCTTGAGGCCACAGGTTACGTAAAGTGGTGAAGCCAGCTGCCTGTGAATTAGGACTGCAATCGAATCATAATCACAATCTGAATGGTCGCAATTAGTAAAGACTGTAGTATTTTAAAATCTAGTGTGTACAATCTGCAAACCCTGAGTTTAGACCTCTTCAAATGTATATGATTTGCACAGGGAAAGCAGATGGAAAAAGTAGCAGTAACTAAATCTGGTTCAGTTCAGCGTTTATTTTAATGAATTTGACAAATAAAGTACAAGCAAAAACAATTCTTGCATTAGTTCAGCTGTTTATATTTCAGAAGTATGTA